CTAGGTCAGTGTTATCTACACGCAGTGGCTCTCCAAGGTTTCAGACAGGGGTCTCTACCAACCCTGCCTGATAATGCCAGGGATTAAATCTGAGAACTTTGGGAAATTGCTCTCTGTGCTCTAGTCAAGCCAAAGGAAAGCTACAGTAATGCTTGTTGTGAGGCAAGTCTGAACAAGAAGGAAAGCATGGAATGATACTGATCCTTCATCCAAATTCAATCTTCTCCCAACAATCATCTATATCTATATATCAATATAATATCTGTGTTAGCAAGAGTGCTGCTTGGGTGAAAGCAACCAAGAATTGGTGAACAGGGTGGATTTGGGGCCATATTAGTTCCAGGATTGTGAAGTTTCTGTGGCAGCTGTTGCAACAGGATATAGTTGAACTGGAGGTGCATAACGGAAGTACAAACAAGAGCACGTGGGGGAACTGACCTCCAGCCAGGAACCTCTTCAGTTCTCCTACATATGAAATTAAAGCACTTTGGAGTTACAAAAAGCGACATGGCAATTAAGCATTTTGGAACCCCTGAAACACTGAATCTGGAGGGGAATGTGCAAAATGGTCTTTGCTAAATGCTTAGGTCAGTGATCCTAGCTGTAACTCAAAAGGCAAATAAGCGCTTAGAAGTAGTTTCTTTCAATAACATCACTTTTTAACACAAGAAAAAATATTTGCAGGACCAGTGGCTGGATGAGTTCATTATTTCATTTGGCAATCTAGTTCTACGCCAAACACACTAGAAAACAAAAATCCCAGTAGAATGGCTCTTTTATTTGCTCTGGCAGATTCAGTAGGCAAATGACAGGACTTTGGCATCCTTCTCTCTTACATGGAAATCTCTTTTGAACTGGTGCCCTGCATCAAAGAGGATAATGTACACAGCACTAAATTGCATTGCCATCTTTCAGCTGTGAAGCCTGCTACACTGTAATGAACAGATGAGTTGCAGGATCTGGTCCACAGCCAATTCTAAATCACAGCCAATTCTAAATCATTTAGTCAGTTGTCACCAGATGACTCCAGCTTTTTCTTTTTCTTTTTTTGTCTGAGAAAAGCAGTAGCAACTCCCACTTCTGTGATTCTATTCACAGTGGTTTTTCCTGATGAGGTTTGGAAATACAAAAAAACACAACACTATTTCATATGCTTTCCCCTTGTCTCCCCATCCTGCTGCTATTTATTTGCACCTCCAGAGCAATCCTTTAAAGTCACCACATGAACTTTTCTTTAGAAAGCCTCAGAGGTAGAATTGGATGCTCTGAAAATAACTATATAACTGTGGGTTTCCTTTGTCCCTTTGGTACCATCATGTGTGCAAAAGGAAATATTGCAACAGGATTAGCAGAAAGCAGTGAAGACACATTTGTGAAATTAAACAGTGCATCCTCACAGAGCTCTTCCTTTCATGACATTTAAAACTTTGTGTCAATGGAACCAAATTGCTGGAAGTTATGCATATTCACATTATTATTTTTTAATGTTGTGTGCCATTATTCCACATCCAAGATTCAGGTCCTTCAAAGAGCTATGTTCTCTGACAAGGACTGGAATGACACACAGCAATGAATGGGAAGAAAGGCATGGAGATTTCAGAGAAGTGAAGTGTGTCTAATGGTTAAAACGGACATGCTTGGAAGACCCATTGATAATATTCATGGAAAATTAGGTGTGTGGGAAATCCCTCTGATCAGGCATGAAACACTGAAATTGATTACAAAGCCAGTTGAAAATGCTCAGTTGTGGATTCACATCTCTCTTCTCTCAAACACATGCATGCGTGTATACACTCAGGTGCATGGACGCACATATGTGGCTTATCCACACTTCCTCTGGTTCCACTGCTTCCCCCAGGGAAAACTGCTCTTTTGTGCTCAATCATAGCAAACAGCAATTTGGGTTTTCTCCAAAGGAAAGGGCCCAGGGGAAAACTTTTTGGACGTGTGCTTTCTAAGCACAAGACAAGTGGCTCTCCATTGGCTGGGACTAATCCCTGCAATGTCAGTGACCCGAGACAGAATGGGGCCATTGTAGGCCTGCTCCAGCACCAGAAGAGGAATATGAGCATGAGGTTAGGATACGGCAGCCAGAGGAAAAGAGGCCACTGACTACCATACTGATCACTAGGCAACCTGCTTCTGGCTGATGGTTCATTCCCAGTCTTCTCTCAGCAACCATGATAGTGAGATACGTAAATAAACAGCAGTGTAAAGAACATGGACAGTTTTCAGGATCCTCAATTATGCACCATCTTGAGAGAGGAGGTGGGGGATGTATACAATGCTCATAGTCTTTGTAGGCAATTTTTTAAAGCATAATGTGCATATATTTGCATATGTGTGATTGATACACCCCCACACACCAATGTGGCGTGGGTGGCACTGTGGGTTAAACCACAGAGTCTAGGACTTGCCAATAAGAAGGTCAGCGGTTCGAATCCCCACGACGGGGTGAGATCCCGTTGCTCGGTCCCTGCTCCTGCCAACCTAGCAGTTCAAAAGCACGTCAAAGTACAAGTAGATAAATAGGTACTGCTCCGGCAGGAAGGTAAACGCCGTTTCCATGCGCTGCTCTGGTTCGCTAGAAGCGGCTTAGTCATGCTGGTCACATGACCTGGAAGCTGTATGCCGGCTCCCTTGGTCAATAAACCCAGAGTAGGCCACAACTGGACCTAATGGTCAGGGGTCCCTTTACCTTTTATAAAACGAATGCATAATTAAAATACACAATAACAAATCCACAGGGTCATTAAAAGATATTTAATTAAAAAATACAATAAAACAAATAACCAGAAAGCATAACAATTAAAACAGTTAAAACAATAAAACCAGAAGTTCCATTCAGGGGGAATGCTTGCCTAAATAGGTGACTTTTCAGAAGCTGGCAGAATGGCAACACCAAGAGGTCCTCTTGTATTTCTTGTATTGCAGAAATGAATCTTTGCCCTTTAAGTTATGGTTATACACTTGACTTTGCTTATGGATTTTGTGCACATGCCTGGTATTCTTGAAAGCACTTCCACATCCCAGGAAGAGGCCAACTAGATGAGCATGCATATGTGCAAAGTTGGAGTGAAAAGCCTGTTCAGGGGGAGAAAAGGCTGCGGCTGGCCCTAGATGTTATAGGGTAGATGGCAGTGATTATTTGGGTTGGATAATATAGGGCACTAAAGGTAGGGTAAGGGCCAAGGCAGGGACCAGAGTGGAAGCAACAAAGATACAAACCATCAAGTAGCTCTGGTTTTATCTTCAAACACCATCTCATCAATCATCCCCTCCAAGACATTTCCCTAGAAACCATGCTCCATTCTCATTCATGTATTAAGTTAGTACCTTTGTGTCTTCCTGCAAGGAGGCAATTAAGGTACTGAAACAAACAGCTTGATACTATCGATTCTAAGCAGAGATGCAACTATCTGAGCTGTGAACAGGACATGCTCAGGACAGCCAAGTGCCTAACAACTAGAAAATGTGGCTTGTCTTGGAGAGATCTTGAGGATCCTTGAACCTGCAGAGTTGCAGCTGTCTGTCTGTCAACAGACAGAAATATTTTTTAAAAAATAAAAAATAATTATTTGTCTGTGCCTTAGGGGATGACTGACTGGGGATGATGGCCCATTACTTATTTTTGGTGTGGTTTTACTGTTTTTAGTACTTAAGAGATATTTCCTGGTTAATACATTCACCAAGGGCCAGCACTAAAGCAACAATGTGGATTCATTTCCTCCATAAATGAAATGAATTAAGAATTAAAACATACTTTGTAAAACTTTCACAACATTCTGTCCCAGTACTTATTTTTGCATTTTATACTGTTTGCAGCTAAAATAGTGTTTTGATTTCAGGCTGGCATCTTTAGCATTTTCAAGCAGGTGATTCAACATCTACAATGATGTGTTAAGCGATGCAAACGTTTTCTTGAATGGACATAGATGGAATTATAGGAGATGTTCAAATGAAGTGGAAAAGCACAACTGGAAAGTAAAAGGCTAGCTCTGAGAAAAAATATTTTCAAGAATCTGTGCCTAAAAGCCTGGTTTTATTATCATTCTAGACAAACAAAGGTTTCATTTGCTTTTCGTGTCATTGCTTTTCTTAGTGATAAAAGCACTGCAAAGGTAGCCATGCATTCTGGACACCTGAGAGCATTTTCATGAAGGAGATGACAATGAAGATGGACTTGGCTAATGAACAGAGCAAAACTATTAGATTGGTAAGGAAGAACAGAAGGAGAACATCCTGAACTGGTGCTCAATATATTACACTATTTTTTGTTCACAGAAAGCACAGCATTCAATGCTTGCTGGCAATAATCCTACTTGGGAGTTTCTGCACCACAGTCACCAGAGGTCTCAGGGGATTGGCATACATTGTCCTGTTTAACTCTGCAGGACATCTCTTTAGTGTTTCTAGAGCAAAGGTTTGGCCTTTGGCCATCTTAATTACAGAACTGGATATATCCCATTGCAACACCTTGAACAGTATGAAGAGAAACACTCACATAAAAATGCAGTATTTGCTAGTAAATAGAGAAAGACTGTATTGCATTTGGCTCCACAGAGCAGTAGAGTGGGGCAATAAGGGAGGTAGCTGACCTACAGGAATATCAGCAGTCCTTAATAACCCAGTTACCAGAACCACAAAAGCAACATGTGTATTCTATGGGAATGGTCAGCAAGAAGTATTATATCAAATAATATAAAAGGATGACTTTCTGTGTGAAAACGGTCTTGCTTCAAGCAGTAGTTCTAACCTGCCAGCTACAGTTAAACCTGCAGTCAGGCAGAAGAAAATAAATGCATGCATGATATTGGCGTCTTCACTAAAGTGATTATGGAATTATGGGTTATGTTAATAGGTGGTATTGCCCATTAATCATCAGCTATAATGTTTATCCCCAATTAATACTTCTGCTGTTACTGAAATAAATCAACATCAGAATGCAAATGATTCCAAAGAAGGATTATCTTAACAAAGTATTCTGGCAAGTAACTCACCCTCCTTCTTCGGAGTACTTGTGACCAAATGCCAGGATGTCAGATGCCCGCCCACTGCCATCACAAACTACAACAGGAACTGGAGGAGTGTCACGTAAATATTCAAGGACGATGGAAATTACGTTGGGTCCTCCTTCCACAATGAGAGCCACCACTGGGACACCTTGCCCAATCCCTGCAGAGAAACAAACAAACAAACAAACAAAAGAAAAACAAAGCCAGCAAATCAAAGAAAATAGAGAAAAAGAAGGAAACAAACTGAAATGATGGACTACACAATTAAGACAAAGTAGCATTATGTGACCATCCTATCCATCTGTATTAGACTCCAGATTACATGCTGAGGAGGAGACTTTGCAAAGGATGGTATAATGAATTCCTCCACAGTCACTAGGGTGGAATTCGGCCATATCCACATACAGCATCTCTGGGAAAAATAATCTCCCCCTCTAACATGTATTAATAGATGGTGTCGTGATGTCATGCATTTTCCCTGCTCCTACCCTTGCTGCTCTCTTGGCTGTCACTGGGCAACCACAATTGCAAGAGAGTGGACGATGGAAAGATCTGGATGGGGATGATTCTTTCAGCAGCAGACGTGTGTTTCATAATGTGTATTTAGAATTTCACTACAACTTTGAGACTGTTTTCCCCCCTTAAATTAAGGAGTTTAGATATTTAGGGACTTAGTTTTCACATGGAACAACACAATTATCTGCACCATCTTAAATATTAATATATTAAGTACAATTTATGTAAAAGTTGCTATAGGTATGAGGACCCAGGTGGTCCCCTGGTTCAGGAGCCCTGGTTTCTAGACACTTCAGAAGTACTGGCCCTGCTAAGTTAGGGCAGCCCATGTCTGCTTAGTTTTGCAAATGTGCTAGCAGTTTTATTGCTGCATGTCTTTTGAAGTATGTAAGCAAGACAATTATTCAGAAACATGAAATTCTGAAGGCGAACTGAAATGTTTGCCTCTTATACAAAAACATTCCATAGTAATAGCTTCTCTTTATTCATATATTCTATTACTTCCAAAGTGCCGCTTGAAGTGAGGAGCATAGAATGTCACTGTGGATGCAGCGAAATCTTCTTTCCCAAAGAGTATTTTTCTTGCCATGATCTTTCATTACAGACCCTTCTGACTTTTAGCTCCACTTATTTGCCTCTGTGAATTTCTGTGCTTTTGCATGCATTGTATTAGGAGCCTTATAATTTGTATAGTACTGAGACCAGGATGCTTCCCTTCCTCCAACCAAAAGTCATTTGCAATTAAATCTTGTCCTGAGGCTCCTGTTTCTTGATCTGCTTCAGCTCCCAGGGATTCAGTTTGCACTTCTGCAGGGCACATGAATGGCAGTCTTGACAGCAGCATTTGCAGGGCTTCTTCTGCCCCAGGGGCAGCTGGCAGCTTGGCTCCCTGGTAGCCCTCAGAGTGACAAAGGAGTCACCAAGGAGTTTGCAGGTGTCTTTGTGCGCATTTTGTTTTTCTAAAGGAAGAGTTGTTCCCACAGTTAGAGGAAGTGAAGTCTGTTTAAACACAGTTACACAATTGCATGCCATGCAAAAAGGGAGACAGCCAAACACTTTCTGGCTACTCCCTATCGCCAGCCTAAGGCAGCAGATATCACAGCAGTCCTGGGCCTGTTTCTACCAAGAATCAGAATGCTGAAGGGAAGGAATCCCCATCCTCTGGATTCCCAATTTTTGCCCTGAAGCAAACATTGTGACAAACCACGGGCCTCTATTATGTTACTGCAGAAAAACCCTATGGCAGATGCTAAAGCTAACAATATCCTATAAATGGCACTGTAAAGCCTACCCATTTTTGCTAGACCTCTGAGCAGTTGTGTATCATTAAATGAGGAATGCGTCGGAGATGCCTTAGAGAGGCTCAGGTTCCGAGATGCTCTGCAGAATGGGATGAAATGGCCCAGAAACATTATTTTAGAAATCAAGCTTACTTTTAAGGATTGGCTGACTGCTTGCTGGAGTTTGAGTTGGACTTAAGTGGTCTGGGACTATAGGCAATGGGCCAAAAGATTCAGGAATAAGCTGATTTCAATTAGGCAGTTTAAAACTTGGACCATCTAGGCAGTGAGTCCTGGGGGAGCTGCTCCCTGCCTTGCAGGCCTTTTCCACAGCTAAGGCTGCTGAACAGACACTTGGGTTGGGGTATTGTTTAGGGGTTTCTGTTGCTGATTTATTGCCCTAATTGTTTAAAATGTTTTAAACTGTTTTCACCTGCTTTTTATGTCCTTTTAAATTTGGTGTTTTTTGTTTTTGTTTTAATTAAGGGATGTAAGATGTGCCTGGGGAGAGGAGGTGTGGCCCCAACCACAGTGGTTCTGAGCATGGGGAGCTATGGTGGGGTGTTGATATGACTAAAATCAAAGAGCAGCATGGTAGACAAAGGGCGTTTTCCCCAGATCAGCAAATGCATTATATTTTCTGTGGCATGGCTGCATTTAAAATACTCTGTAAATGTATTATCAGAATGATACCCTACAAACTGCCAATTCCAAAAGGAACCCATGATCCCAGGAGTAACTCTGGTGGGACAGCAAGGTGAGGTTCTGGGTGTAGCAGGGATTCCCTGAGTAGCTGAAGTTTATCAGCTTAGCCAACTGGAGAGGAAGATCTTTAAAGCTGCATGATCCTGTTGCTGATAGGTCACATAATCTCTCTGCCTGTCTGTTATTGGTTCATTGCCTGGATTCAGATCCACACCACACACCCAGGGACCACCCGAGGGTACAGAAATGCATTAAATACTGAAGATATTGTGAAAGGAAGATCAGGACATCAGTCAATGAGCATCCAATGTATTTGATGAAGGTGCAATGGTCAGAGAAGATGCTGGTGATGACAGCTGAACGTCCCTTTGCCTTCCCAGCCCCCTTCATATATTCTCAGGCATAGGATGACAAAGGGAAGCCCACGAGTCACATGAAGAGGTACTGCAGACACTTTACAGGGCTAGAAGTTGCCATTCAACCTGCACCTACCCTACATTCTTCTCCAGTTCACTTTAACCCTCATTCATAAAAAATAAGCTTAGCTTATTGTCTACCTGAACTGGACTGCAAAATACCATATATTGATGGTAAGCACTTGGCTTTGGCAAACCAATGCCCATTATTTACATCAATATACTTACTTATATGGAGGAGTTGGTTGCATATGGAGCATAAAAGGTCATTTTGGATTATACTTTTTGAACTAATCCGTAGTCACCTTGGCCTTTTCTACTGTCTGCTTGACTCAATGCAATAGTCTAAATTATTCAGACCCCATAATTTGAAACAGTTCTAATAAAGTAAACCAATCTTCCCTTTGTGACTTCAGTGGATGGCAACATTTGAAAGAAAACAAAATTTGTCCAACAAAACCTAGCTGAAACATGCACTTATGCTACTTATTGCTTATTAGGGCTGTATCTACTTAAAAGAGCTACATGAAAGCAACCTGAACTCTGCACTCTGACAAGCTGAATTCTGCAACCTGTGCTAGAATTATGTGGCTTGAACAACTTTGCACACTTCTGCTTAATGTTATCTCATATATTCTGTTTTTTTTGCTGGTCTTGGGAAAGGCAAAACAACTATGCCAGGGCATTTGAAGCCCTTCTGCCTTCTGCCTCCTAAGGTCCTAAGTGTGCCCAGACACTTTCGGTGTTTTGGGAGCTACAAACCTTTAGAAGGAAAGGTTTTAAGTTTCAGGATGTCAAATCCTGTGCCCAGTACCAAATTCTGCATGTGTATTGTGATATGGATTATGGAATCATGGAGTTGACATAGCCCTGATTACAGACATGCTCCATCATTTCCAGGACAATTTGCCAATCATGAAATGGCAGCATGCAGCTTTATTTAACATGACCACGGTTTCACATAGGGTGCATCATGAAAAAAACATGCAACTCCTCTCACAAATATATTAATTTTGCAAGGTTTCAAGAAATGGTGGTGTCTTGGAATATTATGGAACTGCTTTTGTTGTTGTTGGATGTTTTTCAATAAAAGATTGAACAGACATTCATCAAGGATTTTTTAGTTATGGGGTAGTCTGTCTTGAGGTCCATCACTATGAAACATTGAGTGGCAGATGTTGCCCTAGCCAATTAGTAATAATAAGATGGATAGTTTGACACTAACCAGCTGCAGGTGGAAGTACTTTTATTTTTCACACAACAGTTCAACTGTTTCAAATGTTTCAAGGTTACTTTGTTCCCTTATCTTCCTTTTACATCACAAACTTATGAAGACAACGCTTAAAAAATTATTTAGAAGGTACTATTTGTTCTCTATTTTCTCAGCAGGCTTACTGTGTTCCACCAGCTGTTCTAAAGAGAAATGTAATAGCTGCTTTCTGCAGAGAACAAAGAACAGCATTCACACAGGAAAGTGCATGGCTGCTGGTTGGTTTCTGATTTATGATGATTAGATTAGGTACTAAAAGTTATGATCCACCATTTTATTCCCACAGAGACTTACACCTATACACTTCCCAGTTCTTTGTAGTTCTTGCTTGATCTTTCTACAAAGCAAGAAATCAATGTAAGTGTAAAAAAGAAATAGCTATTATAAATACGAACATAATTAACAGTTTGGTCTTAAGAACTGCTGAGCAATCAAAAGTCTGCTTGGTGCTGAGGGTGGAGAATGTGTCTGCCACTATATAATGGGCTAAATAAGAACATTTCACTAATATTGCCATGGAGTTATATCACCCTGCAATCAGATAATTTTGTGTGAATGTTTTGTACTCTGGTGCATAGATCTCTGCAATTACTGGGCACATCACTGCCAAGTTTGCTCTAAATGCCAAAGAGCAGTTGCTCAGTCTCATTTAAATATTGTATCCCTGATGACGTGATTTAACATATCCATAGGAAGCCAGTTTTCCAGTATCAAAGGCCAGCTCTGGTAATCAGGATTCAAACATTGCTTTGTAAAGGAAAAATGCAGGGTGACAAAAGGACTAAAGCAAAAAATAGCACAGCTTCCTGAAACATCAGAGGAAAGTATGTAAACTTGTTATTTGTCCTCTTTTCTATTATTATCTCTGCAATTCTGGATGTCGGTTATCTTTCTTCTAACATACAAGGGATATTAATTTTTGATGCTGTTAGACCCTCATCCATGATTCTGGAGGTGAGAGGAGGGACTGAAA